GCATCAACCCAACTTCCACAGCCACCTCCATCTCCAACGTAAGGATAAAAAAAGACCCCGGCCATCTCCACTCTCCAGCTCTGATTCACCCGCAACACCACCCGGCAGTTTTGAGGTAAGCGACATTCTGTTATCAATCGAGCAGAAACTAACTGGACTGGACGCTCACGATGCAGAACTTCAATGAGCGCGATATGCTCTCATTGAAGTTCTGCATCGTGAATTCCAATCCCTCCGTCAAAGCCTTGAATACAGTCAGGCACAAATAGACACACTTACCTCAGAAAATAAATCACTCAAGCAGTCCGTCAACACCCTCACCACCCAGCTCAACTCCATCACCGACGACAATAAAACTATGAAGGAAACCATCTTAGATCTCCAGGCACGCAGCATGTGCGATAACCTTGTTTTCACCGGCATCCCAGAGCACCCCACAGGTGACCCCGAAAAAACTGTTAAGGATTTCATGACTCGCCAGCTCAAACTCCCCCCGGACACCGTCAAAAATATCACTTTTCACCGTGTTCATCATATGGGTCAGAAAAACACCACCAACAACCACCCACGTCCAATAGTTGCAAAATTCGAACATTTCAAACAAAAACTCCACGTACAACAACAAGGAAGACAGCTGAAAGGAACGGACTTTGGACACAATGATCAATTTCCAAAATAAATTATGCTCCGCCGCAAACAACTTCACCCCATCCGTAAACAGATGATCCAACAAGGAAAAAAGGCCGTCATATCCGTGGACAAACTTTACATTAATGGACAGTTATACCGTGACAAGGACAAAACCCCCTGGCTCTACTAATCCCCCCATGCCCCCCGTACTCTCTATCTACCTCATTCATCCGACAGGACAGCGCACAGCCTCCCACCCACTACGACGAACACCCCCGCCCCCGCTCCACTTTCCTCTCCAAGGAAAAACATTTACCATACTCGCTCAAAATACACTAACAAAAAAACTTTTACCCATCATTGCACCAATGTCTCCCCGCAATATATGCCATGATCAGCATTGGACTTTCCCTAAACCTTTTGTTGTTTTTCTTAAATGTTTACCCTCGACTCTTTTTTCGTTTGTCTGTCTGTTTGTTTGTTTGTTTGTTTTTCTGTTTGTGTTATTGGTCTCAAAGTACAGTTTTTTCTGTGTTTTTTGTGTTATACTTGCAGGCATGTTTGTTTTTATATGTGCAGTGTGTGTGTGTGTGTGTGTGTGTGTGTATATACATATATATATTACCTCGCTCATACACACCAACACATATATTACACATACACACAGCAACAAGAAACTGAACTGGAACAAAAAATCAAACACCTAGAGGACATCATTGCCAACAACCCAACAGAAGAATCACATACAGAAATTAGGAAATGCAAATTTAAACTGAATGAAATCCTGAATAAAAAAACTCAATTCCAAATCCACAGACTCAGACAAGAACATTTCTATCACAACAATAAATCGGGCAAACACTTGGCAAATCAAATAAAGCAAAACAGAGAAAAGACAACCATCTCTACCATTAAGAACTCAGCAGGGAAGCCAACAAGCTCACCTGAAGAAATAAACAAAATATTCATGGAATTTTATGCAAACTTATAGTCATCAGAACACAACCCAAACCAAGAAGATATTGTTTCATTTCTCAATAACATCAATCTACCACAACTCAACCAAGACCACATCTCAGTACTGGAAGCACCAATTACTCAAGAAAAACTGTCATCTGCACTCCATCTCATGCCCAACCATAAATCACCAGGACCTGATGGCTTCCCTGCTGAGTGCTACAAACATTTCTGGTCAATTCTATCCCCACTATTCCACAGAGTAATAACTGAAATAAAACAACAATCAAAATTACCCACACATAATGAACACAGCCACAATTTCACTCCTCCTCAAACCCAACAAAGACCCATCACTCCAATCCAGCTACCGCCCCATCTCCCTCTTAAATGTAGATCTCAAAATTATTGCAAAAACACTATCCCACAGAATAGACAAAATCATCCCGTCCATAATCCATCCTGATCAAACTGGTTTCATCAAAGGCAGACATTCATCCACCAACACTCGCAGACTCTTCAATCTAATGCAGTTCTCATCCCAACAACCCACACCATCCATCATTGTCACACTGGACTATATGCCGACGACATTCTGCTCTTTCTTCAGAAACCACACTCATCACTACAGGAAACAATCAAAACCATAGAAACATACTCAAAAATCTCTGACTACTCCACAAACTGGTACAAATCCTCAATCCTCCCACTCCATAGTCACAGCTGGGATGTGGCATATCTCTTTTCAATGATCCCATCCAAACCCACCCACTCCTGGTTCAAATCTCTGGAATCCATCATAAATAAATACTACTGGAAAAATAAAACACCCCGAATCAAGAGAGCAACATTACAGAAACCAAAAACACAAGGAGGACTGTCAGCACCAAACTTTTATCAATACTTCATTGAAAATCAGTTACAGTACATATTCAAATGGATCCACCCCCAACAATCAGACAGTATATGGTTAGACATTGAACAGACAATAAGTGACAACATCCCCCTCTCAGATTTACCATTCATCAGTTCATCTATCAAGCGCCACCCCTGTTTCAAATCAATAACAATATCATCAGCTCTGACAGCCTGGTGGGAATTTCACAAAATCACAAACTCCACTCTGGCACCTTGTAAATTCACCCCCTTCTGGAACAACCCTGACTTCCTTAGTAACTTAGTTGTCCTGGTCAGACAAAGGCATCACTCACTTACAACACATTTTTCAAAACAATAAACTGGTTTCATTTCCACACCTGGTCCAGGAGTACGGCATCAGGAGCAATCAATACCTGGAATCTCTTCAGATAAAATCATCCATTCAAGCAGTATGTAACACCACACACACTGACCTCCATCTATCACAACCCGGCTCAGAATTAATCAGTATCACTTCAACAAAAAAACTCCTCTCCAAAATATACAAAATCACATCTCAATCAGACACTACCATAACCCTACCAATATCAAAATGGGAAATAGATCTGTCGATTGCTCCTAATGCCGATTTCTGGAGCCAAATCATCCAAAATACTTACTTAATGTCAAGAAATGCAAACATACAACTAATCCAATACAAAATACTTCACAGAACACACCTCATGGGACAGAAAATGTTTAAAATGGGATTC